ATCTAACAAAGACGATAATCATTACATAACTTGAAAAAGTTATTTAGATTAAACTCTCAAGTATCTTCTATATATTGAGATAATATCAAAATCACAGGTCGTCACGTATTTCCTTTTTCTTCACTACATTATAACGACAATGAAAGTCTATTCAATGGTTCCTCACTTCCTTGACTCTTTTTTTGTCGCATTATACCATCAACATTTCATTAATCATCACATCTATTTTTGTTCAAAATATCAGTTGAGACGGCATAAAAAGACATATTTTAAGAATCATGTGTGTGAAATCATGCTGGGGAAAAAATAAAAATCCTACAAACTCACAGTGAGAATGAATAATAATACAGAAAAAACCGGAAAGAGAAAATTGTGAATTCAACATGATTTAGCGAAGGAGAAGGAGACTTTCTAAATTGAGAAAACTTCACATAACAATGTTTTCTCATCGTCACAACTTCTTCTTGCTCAAAATTAGAAAACTTGCACCTACCGGTTCTTCTAATATTCTTGTCTCGATTTTCTTTCTCTTTAATAGCCAGCCCATAAGACAATTTTAGCCAGTAAAAACTTTCCCCAAATAAAATATTACCAACGAAAATGAAGTTATGACATGTTTGATGCACCAAATTTTCTGTGAAAAATGGAAATCAAATTAATCATGTTTGATATGAACAATTTTTTAGGCAAATATTTTTCCCCTCTCTACTTCACGTGTCTCATTTTATTGGTTTTTGTTGAATTCCTTTTCCCACCATTTTGGTGGGAAAATAGAATTCCAGTTTTTTTTGGAACAATTTTTATAACCAATTGTAAAAAAAAATTTCATTTTAATGGACAATTTTCATGTAAAACAAAGTCAAAGGAATACTAAATTTTGATTAGAAAAATGAATTTTTTGGAAATATAAATAAATATATATATATATATACATACATTTTTTTTTTACTTTTTGGCAATGGAAACAAATTTTATAACCAATTGTGGAAAAATTTATCACTTTAATGGACAATTTTCGTGTAAAACAAAGCCAAACGAATACAAAAAGATCCAAAATTTTAAAAATTTTCGGGTGAAAAATTATACCAATCAAATATACTTAATTAACAATTCTCTTAAAAATAAATTCTAGACAATTATTTTCTTTCCACTCATTTTCTACCATTGCAATCAAATGGACCCTTAGATAATTTTTGGGCAAGAGTCAACATAAAGGTTATTAATGGAAACAATTTTGTAACGATAAATCCTCTTGTACGGTGATTAACACATTGTAAATTTTACAGTGTGACATATTAAGGTGGGGCCCACTGACTACATGATTGATTTTGTAATGATTTCACTGACAACTCTAAGTAGTTAGTAGTAGTATTGAATAGGAGTCTTCTTGGTGCACATATCAATGCTAGACAAGGCACAGGTGGGGGCAGCAATTTTTTTTTAAATACGTGTGGGGCCTGCCCCTTTGTGAGGGGCTTATAAGGCCCTTGTGAAACATTATTCTGTACACTGGACATTATTCATTGACTAGTTATTTCCGTAAGTACCAATGCACAACATAAAGGGGATAAATTACGCTTGCATGTGACGTATTACATCTACCGATTCTTGTAATTTTTGTTGGAACTTAACATTAGTTACTGAATTTGTCATATATTTTTTCTTTTCAAGCTATATAATTTGAATTGATCTCATATTGTCATGAGTAGGTGCACATGTGGTAATACCGAATGATGATGTCTTTACTTAATAGCATTCCTCGGGTCAGTATTGGATAATGACATTGAGACCCATACTCTGAAATACTTAACCGATCAAATCGTCAAATCCTACGATTTTGTGATGATAAAATGTTTGACATCCATTTTATTTCTCATTTTTTTCTCTTTCTTCATTTCGACCACACATTTTATCAATAAAATAATATTATACATAAATTTAAAAATTCTTCTTATTTTTTAACAACACATTCTCCAATTAATCACTATTCCAAAATCTATTATTTCCCCAAAATGGATGTCAAACACAAGCAAAATGTGTAGTTGTAAAGCTGACAAAATTGTGAGATCCCCATGAAAAGTGAGATTAAAAACAAGTTCGGAAGAAAAATAAGTTTTCGAAAATGAGAGCTAAATAAGGACTTATTTTAATACTCACTATTTACTTATAAATAAATTATGGGAAGTATACATAAATCATGCTTTTACTTATACACATTTCAAAATTAAGGTATGATGTTTTAAATTTCAAAAATCAGGTTTTTATTTAAATTTATTTATGAATTACTTAATTAATTATATATTTTATTAATAAATATATAACGGTCTTGTGACTTTATTCTCACCGCAAACTCGTCCACTGATGTACACGTGACGATGATCTAACAAAGACGATAATCATTACATAACTTGAAAAAAATATTTAGATTAAACTCTCAAGTATCTTCTATATATTGAGATAATATCAATCATAATCACGGGTCGTCACGTATTTCCTTTTTCTTCACTACATTATAACGACAATGAAAGTCTATTCAATGGTTCCTCACTTCCTTGACTCTTTTTTTGTCGCATTATACCATCAACATTTCATTAATTATCACATCTATTTTTGTTCAAAATATCTGTTGAGACGGCATAAAAAGACATATTTTAAGAATCATGCGTGTGAAATCATGCTGGGGAAAAAATAAAAATCCTACAAACTCACAGTGAGAATGAATAATAATACAGAGAAAACCGGAAAGAGAAAATTGTGAATTTAACGTGATTTAGCGAAGGAGAAGGAGACTTTCTAAATTGAGAAAACTTCACATAACAATGTTTTCTCATCGTCGCAACTTCTTCTTGCTCAAAATTAGAAAACTTGCACCTACCGTTTCTTCTAATATTCTTGTCTCGATTTTCTTTCTCTTTAATAGCCAGCCCATAAGACAATTTTAGCCAGTAAAAACTTTCCCCAGATAAAATATTACCAACGAAAATGAAGTTATGGCATGTTTGATGCACCAAATTTTCCGTGAAAAATGGAAATCAAATTCCAACTTTCACTTTTAGTCATGTTTGATATGAACAATTTTCTAGGCAAATGTTTTTCCTCTCTCTACTTCACGTGTCTCATTTTATTGGTTTTTGTTGAATTCCTTTTCCCACCATTTTGGTGGGAAAATAGAATTCCAGTTTTTTTTTGGAACAAATTTTATAATCAATTGTAAAAAAAAATTCATTTTAATGAACAATTTTCATGTAAAACAAAGTCAAACAAACACTAAATTTTGATTAGAAAAATGAATTTTTTGGAAATATAAATAAATAAATAAATATATATATACATACATTTTTTGTTTTACTTTTTGGCAATGGAAACAAATTTTATAACCAATTGTGGAAAAATTTATCACTTTAATGGACAATTTCCATGTAAAACAAAGTCAAACGAACATAAAAAGATCCAAAATTTTAAAATTTTTCGGGTGAAAAATTATACCAATCAAATATACTTAATTAACAATTCTCTGAAAAATAAATTTTAGACAATTATTTTCTTTCCACTCATTTTCTACCATTGCAATCAAATGGACCCTTAGATAATTTTTGGGCAAGAGTCATCATAAAGGTTATTAATGGAAACAATTTTGTAACGATAAATCCTCTTGTACGGTGATTAACACATTGTAAATTTTACAGTGTGACATATTAAGGTGGGACCCACTGACTACATGATTGATTTTGTAATGATTTCACTGACAACTCTAAGTAGTTAGTAGTAGTATTGAATAGAAGTCTTCTTGGTGCACATATCAATGCTAGACAAGACAGGTGGGGGCAGCAATTTTTCTTTAAATACGTGTGGGGCCTGCCCCTTTGTGAGGGGCTTATAACTTATAAGGCCCTTGTGAAACATTATTCTGTACACTGGGCATTATTCATTGACTAGTTTTTTTTTTTTTTTTGAAAAACATTGACTAGTTATTACCGTTAAGTACCAATGCACAACATAAAGGGGATAAATTACGCTTGCATGTGACATATTACATCTACTGATTCTTGTAATTTTTGTTGGAACTTAACATTAGTTACTGAATTTGTCATATATTTTTTCTTTTCAAGCTATATAATTTGAATTGATCTCATATTGTCACGAGTAGGTGCACATGTGGTAATACCGAATGCTGATGTCTTTACTTAATAGCATTCCTCGGGTCAGCATTGGATAATGACATTGAGACCCATACTCTGAAATACTTAATCGATCAAATCGTCAAATCCTACGATTTTGTGATGATAAAATGTTTGACATCCATTTTATTTATCATATTTTTCTCTTTATTCATTTCAACCACACATTTTATCAATAAAATAATATTATACATAAATTTAAAAATTCTTCTTATTTTTTAACAACACATTCTCCAATTAATCACTATTCCAAAATCTATTATTTCCCCAAAATGGATGTCAAACACAAGCAAAATGTGTAGTTGCAAAGCTGACAAAATTGTGAGATCCCCATGAAAAGTGAGATTAAAAACAAGTTCGGAAGAAAAATAAGTTTTCGAAAATGAGAGCTAAATAATGACTTATTAAATACTCACTATTTACTTATAAATAAATTATACCGAAACCTTTTAAGCTTAGCAAGACACTTACGAAAGAAAGTAGACATGGTCTTAATAATCATTATGGACCATATATATGGAAATGGAGCCAAATTATTGACTGTCTGTGACCAATTTTGTGCTAATTGTGACCTAATGTGACTTGAATATGATCAAGTCACAATCGGTCACAATTAGCACAAAATTGGTCGCAGCCAGTCACAATACACACATATTTGATTACAAATAGTCACCACAAACAAATCCGCTTACACCACGGACCAGCACCAGTCGGATTAAAGGTTCCAAAATGAATTGCAACAATTATATGTTAATTCCTGAGTGCATCATGAAAACACAAATTGGTTTCCAAAATGCTGCGAACATACTCAAATAATATCTCCTATTTCATTTTGCACAAACTAATAAATAAGCATACCCTCTTGCCACCATTGTAGAAAACTGGATACCCTTCCAGCAACCCAGTCCAAAAGAGCTCCCTGACAGTTGTCGGCCTCCCTTTTACTGCAATTTTCTTAGTCATCTTCATTTCCATCTTCTTAGCCGAAGTGCCCAACCCACTTAATTCCCCATTCTCTAATCTCTCAGAATCCAAAACCACTGCATCCTGTAATTCTCCCAAATTTTCACTTTCCATTTCTGAACTATCAGCATTCAATTTCATGGCCAACCGTGTAAATCTTCTAGGCAAGTCACTCCTTGCTACTTCTGCCATAGGTTCCTCTTTCACTTCAATCTCCAACATTTCGTTCTCAACATCACCTCCTTTAAATCCCGAAGCCTCTGAACAACCTCAACTCCACCCGCATTCACTAAATCACTTCCAAGACTTGCAACTCCACCATCTGCTAATTACTGCACCACAGCCGCGCCCCACATAATCACCACAGGGAGAATCAACGCACCACCGCCGCAACTGCCACCATCACCACATAGGCCATCTCTTACACCAGCCAACATCAACACCACCACAGCCACCACCACCAACTGCCAACGACAAAACTCACCTAAAAAACTCTGGCATCAATTCGAACCCAAAATTTCCCCAGTTCCATAACTCAACAAATACTGAGCACAAATCGCATAATAGCTCAAACTAAAAGTCTTAGATCCAAACACTGCAATTTTCTACTGAACAAACCTATCTAAAACACCAAAAGCAGAATATTATTACTGGCGATGCCGGTGGCGGCGGAAGAGGAGTGTGAGCGTTTCTATTGATTCTCCACCGGAGCAACCACAACAATTGCCGCTTCAATCGTTGCGACGGCGACGATGGGGTGGATAGCTGCAACGGTGAGGCGAGAGAGAGAGAGAGAGAGCAGAGCAGTCGGCGAGAGAGGAGAGGTAGAGTCGAACGATTTTGGGGGATTTGAACGTAGCGTCGCAGCTGCGAAGAGCGGCGAGGCTGTGGCGCTGTCACTGGCTCGGTGGAGGAATATGGTGGTGCTGCTGCCGTTTAGGGGAAATGAGGAGGTGGTGGTGGAGTGGAGGGAGGCAGTGTTCGGCGGCGCTCCGGCAGTTTCTAAAGAGAGAGAGAGGGGGAGGAGAGAATGGGGTGGAGAGAGAAAACGTTAGGGTTGATTGGTGATTTTAATTAATTAACGTGAATTATATAATTAATATTAATTTAAAGATAAAAAATCTGATTTTTGAAAAGTTAAATATGTGACCTGATTTGTGAAAATGGATATCTAAAAACAGGGTTATGTGTAATTTTCCCATAAATTATACCTAAACCTTTTAAGCTTAGCAAGACACACTTACGAAAGAAAGTAGACATGGTCTTAATAATCATTATGGACCATATATATGGAAATGGAGCCAAATTATTGGCAGTATAGCCCAATCCATACTTGAAAATTAGTCCAAGAAATATCGGGCCGACATCGGGTCCGACTCACAATTCCGGGTCCACAAGTCAGCCTGTAGCGTTATACTTTCAATTTATTTCTCCGCCAATCATGTCTTTTTTCTAAGAAATTTGAAATCCCCATCCGCGCTCATCACCATTCACCCATGACCCAACGGTCTCTCACACACACACACACACACACACACGCTCGTTCCTCTCTCTATTCTGTTTCTCTAGAACTTCAATAAGAGTAATATTCAGATTTTGGGCGGTGTGACGAAGAAGAAATGACGACTGTGTATGGTTTATTGTATGAGGTGTAGGGCGGTGTGAAGAAGAAGAAATGACGACGGTGGAGAAGCTACTTGTGCAGATCTTCGAGCGGAAAAATAGGATTATCGAACAAGTCAAGCAGCGAACGGAATTGTATAACCAGCACCTTGCTTCTAAACTGCTCATTGATGGGATTACCCCCCCTTCTTGGCTTTGGAACCCTACCCAATTGTCAGATCCCAAAGGTGTCCCCTAATTAATTTCATATTTGTTAGCCCTAGGATTTACTTCATTCGCTTTAAATTTTACTAAATTTGGGGATTTCGTAATTTCAATTTTTTATATATATATAAATTATTTGAGTCATTTTATGGTTTAGAAGTTGAAAGAACCTACCATGTGTCAAATCAAGCCCAAGAAACCGTTGAAGGTTATAATTTTTTTTTAAAATTTTAAATTATAGCGATGTTGTATAAATATGTATTATTTTGGGAAATGACAATTACCTTGCGTTTATGCCCTCCAAGTGCAAGGTATGACTATAGGAGCAACACAACTGTGGAAAGTTGATTAGTACTTCGGATAAAAAGATGCTGCCGCATAACATCCAACCCCTACCTACTTGCTTGCAAACAAGATGCCATTCTGGAGATATTAATTCTTGACCATTAATTGCTTACTATTTTTAAATAAACTAAATAGTTTTGCCCTCAAATTTTGTAGAGTTAGAGCAGGCTTTTATTATATTATCCTTGCAATACAAACACTGTGGCTTTGCTTTTGTTTGTTCTCATTAACAAGTTAGCTGTGTATTGAGAATTTATATGAGTACTTTGCATAATCTCTATGTATCAGCAATATATAATTGTCTTAATATTTCCGCTATTGCAGGGCTGAACAAAGAAGAGCTGATTTCTGGACTTCTACTTCCACATCCCCGACCTACAGCTGGTTTCTCTACTGATCGTTTCTCCCTCTACAATAACATAGTCACAGAAAATCATGGAGAGATTTCTGATGGACTTCTCATGGAAAAAGGTTTTAAGGCACAAGATGCGACAATGGTTGCAGCTGTCAATGAGAATCGTGCTCAGTGTGCCCCTAATGGGCTTTGTGAGCTGGATGTTACCAGTTCCTCACCTGTGGACGAGACAGATGAAAGGATCTTAAATGTTTATAATGCACCAGATCAATCGCTAGCTAGATTTCAGAGGTCGAAGTCTAGACAAAAGGCTCTTGAGTATCGTAGCAGTGCGAAGGCACAAGCTAAGAGTTGCTTAAGTCATGAGAATGGCAGTGATGTTCCTCCTAGCAGCATTAGATTATCTATATCTGCTTCCAAGCAGAATGACCACGTCAGGGAGCCTCCAAAATTGGCTGAACCCTGCAATATCAGTCGTCAAAGTTGTGGGGACTGGAATTTGGATCGAGCAAATTGTCACAGCAAGGAAAAGGGGATGAATATTTACACAGATAGAACTACTAGGTCTAGGGGTTCTCATGAAGTCACTACTTTTATCAGTGATTCTACTGCTGATGCTGAAGCAGGCAGTTCCTTTGATGATGCAATAGCAAGTAAAACGAGATCAAGGTCTATACGTATTTATGTGCAGGATGACCGTGTTAATGAGTTTTCAAAATTGGCCGAACCATTTGCAAGCAGTTGTAAAAGTTGTGGAGATATGGAACTTGATGAAAGAGATTGTCAAAACAAGGAAAAACACGTTGATTCTAACACCGGTGCACATGCTAGGTCTAGTAGATATGGTAGACATCAAAGTTATGGTAATGATATTTCAACAACAAATTTATCTTCTGATGATACTCATAAGAAAGATGGCACTGTAGTAGATCCTATGGTTAAGTTACAAACGGACTATGTTAATGGGTCAGTTGCAGCTATTAGTTCTTCTGATGGCCCCACTGGAAGTTGTAGGGCCCGAGAATCAATGTTAGACGATGACCGAAGGCACAAGGAAAAGGGTGCTAATCTTTCCTGCAGTAGGACCACAAGATTCAGCAGATCTGGCCAACAAAATCCTGGTATAGGTGCGGATCAGGATTTACCTCCTCACTCTGCCAAGGCCGACTGCAGAATACTTGCTCCATCAGTTGGTTCATCAATGGAACATCTTAACGTTTCTAAAGAGATTGTGGGGTTTGTCAAACCTTCTGTTGGGTTGGTTGGTAGGGGGTCTATGACTGAAATTAGGTCGGGTGACAAAGGCATAACAGAGCCTGTCAATAGTTATAATAGTTCCAGCCGGGGAGACACAGACCACAAACATCATAATGCTTCTAGCAGTCAAATAGTCATGCCTTGTGGTGAAACCCATGATATTGTTACCTTGCAGGGAAATGCTGAAATTCTTGTGGCTAATGACTTTGTTTCACGGGATCTTGTAGGAGAACAGTCTGTAAATTCCAGTCCTATTGATGCTAAGCGAAGAAGAGAGTTGGAGTGTCTCGCTGCACGGGCTCCCTCTGATTGTTTTATGGTTGTGAAACCAAAGCAACTCGATTTTGATGACATGGAAGAACATAACTTGAATGAAATCTCAGCTTCTATATCCAGAAAGATAAAACTTGACAACTCACTAGAAAATATGCATCGTTCTTCGTCAGAGAGCAAACTATCACTTGATAAAGAATTTTCTTGTAATATCAATCAATTATCTACTCCTAAGAAGTCATTAGAAACGTCAAAGGTCTCAAGCAAAGGAAAGGAAGATTGGAGGGGTTCTTTTGAATCTGATGTCAATGAGCAATTCGAGATACAGACGGAGAAAGATAGATCGGTAATGAGTGAGCATCCTATGTTAATGAGTTTAGAAAATATCCCTGGTGCTGCTGTGCAAATTGAAAACTCTCGAATGTTACAGAAGGCAAATGTTTTCTTATCAAATGCGTTACATGATATAGAGATCTATCCAGTGGAACTTCATTTGAATCAAGGGCACGAGTCCTCATCGGATAAGCACGTTGAAGATGTAAGCTTTAAGCTTCTCTTTCACTTAAGTTAGTTCTTATCCTTTATAGTTCATGCATGTGTGTTTTTTACCCGTCGACATGATGCATCTTGTAATCATACACATTCAAGTTGGTTTAAGTTTTGCTAGACTATTTGTAGATGGATTTTTTGGTTAATTATTATCCAATATTTCTTTGCACTGAAAAGAATTCCAACTGTGCAACACTTATTTATCTTTCTTGAAATTTGTTTGGATGAAAGCCTTGATCAATATGGTTAATTGCTGTTATACAAACTTTCAGAGAGATTTTTAATACAAGGCCTCTATAATATCCCAAGAGGCTCGAGCTGTACAGAGTGTTTTTTTTTCATTTGGTCTTTGATTTACTCCCCATGTTGACTCCCTGACATTTGTAAAAAATGTAGAGTAAAATCGATTATTTGGTACGAAACTTGGAATCATTCAGCTGATGATTAGATATAAGTGGTACGTATTTTGTGGAAATTTACTGGGATTTTTTCTAGCAGCCCATGATCTATTTGGAAATAGGATCTATCTATTTTGGTTGTTGGCTAATCTATCTTCTGCATGTTTGTGAGGGTGGCTTGATTGAAATTTCAGGGAATACATTGGACAGGATACTCGTAGTGATTAATTTTTTAATTAAAAGTTATACATGTGTGGATATGCCTATTTCCTCCCAGAGCAAATTCACATTTAGCTCAAAACTTAGGGGAAAGTAAAATTATTCTACATAAACATGCACGCGGAAAATTATTAACAAGTATGACGGATTGTACGTTGATAAAATTCCTCTCTACTTGTGCCTCACCATTTAGTGCCTTGTTGCCTTTTTAATAAATTCTCGATTACTGGAAAAATGTCCACTGGTATATGAGCTACATCAATTCAGTGTTGAACTCTCCAATTGGTTTGACAGGGTGCATGTAATTATGAAGGCAAGGATAAGGGTGCATCTGGATACTATGCCTCTAAAAGCCAAAATTTTCGGCCATCTTTTTCATCAAATTCAACCAACCAGGCAAGTGGAGAGTCCAAAGATTGCTTGATTGAGAATGTTGGAACTGCATATTCAACTTGCATTATCATTGATGAAGGAAAGCAACTTCCTCTTCAGGAGACTCAAATTTCCCCATGCCTGGATGATAAAGTTTCTAGTGATCACGTGCACAATATGTCTTGTGACAGGAGAGACTTGGACAGGAGTCCACCTCAAGGAGAGAATGATGGAATGGCAGATTCAACCTGCATTGTCCTTGATGAAAAGGGGCAACTTCCTCTTCGGGAGACGCAAATTTTCTCATGCCTGGATGGTGAAGTTTCTAGTAAACATGAACACAATTTGTCTAGTGACAAGAGAGACTTGGATAGGAGTCCGCCTGAAGGAGATAATGGCTTATTATCAAGTAATTCAGTTGGGTCTTTGCATCATGGAAATGAAATTCTCAGTATTTCAAGTGCAAGTGATCCTCAAATCACTAAGAAGCACTCACCACCTGAAAGAAGATCCAGGCCTGCCGAAGAGCACTCATGGCCACAGATTAAGAGGAGAAAGATTGAAGATAAGCAAACTAATAATTTTACCACTTCCCCAAGTCTTAGGGTGCGAAATCCTTACTGCAGTCAACTGGACCCTACAACTTCATGTTTGAAGAACAATGAAACTGTCTTGGTGGATGCATTTAAGGATGATGGGAGTTTGATGGAAGTCAATGAGTCAGCACCTGAATCTCAAAATATCAAGGTATATATTCTATCATTATTCTTATTATTCCAGGATTTTTATTATCTATTAAGATAGATATTCTGCATCTGGACAAGGGATTAAAAGCCTGATTGTCCGTGTCACGTATTGACATATTCGACTGGAATGGAATGCTTTCCTTTGGTATGTTGCTTGACATGTCTGGGAGCAAAGCAAGAATACATTTTTTCAATAATTATTTTGCCTATGTTTGGCCCCCATTTTCTAAGACTCATTTTCAACCACACGTTTTATAGGAACCACAACTTTTTAACCATGCATTTTATCAATTTCTGTCAAAATTTATTAAAAATCTAATTTTCAGCTTGACCAAACAGGGGCTTTGTATCCTTTCTCGTCTATGACAGTGAACTATCTGAAATATTTATTCAGTGTCTGGACAAATAAATGAAATCAGATTGCATATGTTTCAGAGAGTGTAACTCATAACCGTAATTATACCTAATTATACCTGGGATATGAGGGAACTTTAATTACCAGTCATATTTTCTTCAGCTGTGTAGAACTTTGATGGAAGTAAATAAATAGCATATTATTACCTCTTATTTTACACAAAGATGGGGAAATAGGGAATGTGACCCAAATAGTAAATCAATTATCTAACTAAACATCCTCAGCTGCAAGCTGCCTGTTTGATTAATTAGTTGATTGGCCGATTTGCATTTTGTGAGGTTGTAGATTCTTATATGCATGTTTGGACTAAGTTTTTTTTTTTAAATTTAACGTGGAGATGAAACTGTGAAATGCCGTCTAGGGTTCCTCCTTACCCATCTTCTGTCACGTAATGAAAGTCAACTTTGTTAATAGAAGATCTGATGTCTAGAAAGTAGAAACAAATCTTCCTTGAATATCCTGTTTTCACAGGTAGTTCTTTTAGGTTTTCTGATGCAGGAGCTCCATTCATGTCAATGTCTATGCAGGGCAATTTTTTTTTCAAAGAGGAGAATAAACATAGAGAGTCCTCCTTTCCTATCAATCACAAACAGTTAGGGGCATCCCTTGTCTTGAGTTCAACAGAAGCTGACGCTGGAGACACAAGAGGATGCTTGGCTAAGGAAATGAGAACTCCATTTCCGGGTAGCAACTTTTTAGATGTAACGAAACCCGGTGATGAACAAAGTAGCCAACACTTGTTACCTCTTTATAGCAATTTTGATCTGCCAAATTCTGCAAATTTGGCTTGTTTTGAGAAAACCCTTTGTGAAGGAAAATCCCATCAGGGTGAGGACAGGCTACTTTCACAAAGCTCAGTTCCTTCTCAAAATGATAAAGATCTGAACTTTGTTGAGGTCGATCAAATTATGCCTGTATTGGAGGGATTCACTGTAGATGCACAAGAAGATAATGGAAAAGTGAAAATTGCTGGTGATGGAATTGACTTTGACAAACTGAACCTTTCTAGGACAGCAATTGAACGTGCCAGTGTTCTGGCACAGATTTGCAAATCTGCTAGTACAGTTACACCTTTATCCCATTTCTCGTCTTGTTTCAAGTTTCAGGGAACCCAAGATTTATTTCAATCTGTACCAAATGGTTTTCTTGAGCGGTTGGGCAATTCTCATTTGAATATAAATGTTGATGAACAGCTTGGATTTGCTGACAGTGCTTTAAATGGATCTAAAGGGACGCCATATTCTGATTCTCTACCATATTCAGGTGCACAATTTGGTTGGCATTCAGGAAATCATTATGCATCTCCTGTTGGGAAGTTATGGGAAAGATTGTCGTCACACTCTGGAAATTCAGAGAAGCGTTTGAGTTCAAATCCGGAGCTAACATGCTTCCCAATTGAGGAGGATTTCAGTATAAGTGAAGAGAATAAGACTCTCAATGATGAGGCAGATGAAGTCCAAGAAGAGATTGATTCGTTGGACTCTAGTCATTATGCTCAAAGAGAACCACTCAAAGATTTTACAAATTCACGTCTAAATCCTCCTGCATTGGTTTCTGCGGATGAGATGTCTCTGAGCAGAGATAGTGTGGATTTTTTTAACACAAAAACTAGCTTCACTGGGACTCGAAATAAGTTCAAGCAGAATTCTGGAAGTCTCTTAAAAAATAACAGTGAGGCAAAGGAAAACCAGACCTTATCCATGGGAGCAAATAAAATCAGGAAGGAAAAGGAATCATTTAAAAAAAGTGTAAACAACCCTAATTTACCACGCAGAACCAGCGTGAGACAAGAGCAGAAGCTCTTATTGAAGGATTCCAAGAGGAACAACATTGTTTCAAATGTTTCTTCATTTATCCCGCTGGTACAACAAAAACAAGCGGCTGCAGCATGTGCAGGTTGTTTTTCTTCTTTCCCTTGCTTGGTGATTTATATTTATTTCATCTTTTCTTAGGAATTTTATTTGTTCTTAAACAACTTGATGCTGTAAACTTATTAATTGCATTTGTTCGGCGGTTCAACATTAAGAACCTTGTTCATTTTGAAGTATTCTCCATTTTATAAATATGCACTTTTGTCTTATATTATGCTTTTCACCTATTACCTCCTTTTGTATATGTATTAGCATGTCTTTGACTCCCTGGCGTCTCTCTTTCTTCTTCAGCTCGTGTTTTTTCTCTAAGAGGAGTGTAAAGCCCGTAATAGCTTACCTAATGAAAAATATTTTTATCATTTTATGTATTAAATAATAGGGATTAACTATTATATTATGCAACCAAATTACATGTTTGGGTTTCGGGTATTACATAAATGGTGGCTGCTATTTGGCACCTTTCCTTCTCTTGCGGTGTTGGATAAAGTTTCCAGTTCTGTATAGTTGAGACTTGAGAATTACGGATATTTTTGGGTTTTGTTTATTTATCTATTTCATAATTAGTTTAGAACTTTGTGTTTCAGGAAAGAGAGATATCAAGGTGAAGGCTCTAGAAGCTGCAGAGGCTGCAAAACGTTTGGAAGAAAAAAGAGATAATGAACGCAAGGTAAGAAAAGAAGCACTGAAACTTGAGCGAGCAAAGATGGAGAAAGAAAATATGAGACAGAAGGAGTTGGACAAGAAAAAAAGAGAAGTGGAAAGGAAGACAAAAGATGCTGATATGCTATCAAAGAAAAGGCTGAGAGAGGAAGAGGAGAGGAAACAGAAGGAGAAGAAAAGAATGCGAATTGAAGTTAGGCAAAGACAGCATAGAGAACAAGAAGAAAAAATGTGTGCCGAGAAAGCAGAGAAAGAAAAACAGCGTTTCAAAGTAAGTTCTATATTACTAGTAAACCTGATCGCTTTTTGCTTCCTGTTGCCATGACTCACTTATCTCGCTTATGTTCTAGCATGAACAAGTGAACGGCAATAAGGATTCTAACAATGATTCCAGAAGGCAACAAAACCGGGAAAAAGCTGAAGATGATGTTGCTCTGAGAAAAACACAGACTAAACCTGTACCAACTGGACTTGCAATGGATGGCGTCCAGCAGACTACCGTTCATTTTGAAGAAAGTGGCACTTGTGAAATTAAAAAGGTGTAAGAGACGTTTCAAATATGTCTAATTCGATTTCTTGTTGTCTGTCATATCTTCTTCGATCAAAGATATGTGGTGTCTAGTCTACAGAGATGTCTAAAAGATTTGATTTAGTTTTTCAATTTCTTTCTACTTCTGTAAAACCTTTAGTTTCCCAATGAAGAAGTTTAACGCTTTTTTAGGTCAAAATCACTTTCATCAAAATACTAAAAAAAAATTTATTTCTAGTTTCCATACTGACATTTCAATTTTACATTCTTTCCTAGGCAATGGATGTGGTGAATAACTCATGCAAAAGTGATGACTTGTTTGTCCGAAACTGTCTAGAGAAATCATATGAGATTTCTCCATATCAGTGCTCTGATGATGAAGATGAAGAAGAAGATGACTTACCCTCTAGAAAATTAATACCATCCTGGGCCAGGTGATAAACTAAGCCTCTGTTTGGCAAACTTATAAATTGTTTATAAATCATTTATAGATGGTCAAACTTCATTTTCAACCACACATTCCAATGGACTCTAAAGTACTATCAACTTATTCACCACTCATTCTTATCTATTTATAAATTCTTCCTAAATGGAGGCTAAATAATTTTTCAAATGTTCAGTGTAATTGGGACAGCTCTGACAGAATATTATATGTGTTTACCACACATTTTCTGTAATAATATTTCATCTATGCCCTTCTCCACTTATACAGGAATGTAATTCATCTTTTCTTCTGGTTTGTAATGAAGCCTAGAATGACTTTGAGCTTGTTCTATACACAATCAACATTTTCTTTAGAAAATTGAAACTCTCTTGAATGTTATGCATTCTGTTTGCAGTAAAAGCTCCGTGGCTTTAATTTTACCCTTGCAGCAAGAAATGGATCCTGATGTTATATTTCCCCATGGAAGCTTTTGCAGCATGGATGAAGGTAGTTTCTATAAAGAAATAGAATTTTGCTGAATTATCAGTTGGTGACTGAAGTCCTTATTTTGCATCATTTTTCAGTTCTCCTTCCGCGAAAGCTTCAACAAAATTAAGTGACAACATGAATAGAGTTGTTTCCTGTCACCGTTGTCTCCGGACTTCAAGCTTCGTTGAATGATTTGGGTTAGGACTTCTTTTACAGCACAAGGTTTTTCTTACCATGCTCTTTATTTTCATATTTGTTTTATTTAAGTGGGTGAATAAAATGCAAAAATGAGAAAAGGTGATAGTAGGATAAGTTAGCAAAATATTTCTAGCAACCTATACTTTTACTGTAAATCCATCAGCATCACGTGTTCTCTTCTTTGACTTTTACTGTAAATTCATTAGCTTCACTTTGTTCTCCTCTCTGTACTTCATTATGGCCTAAGAAACACGAATGCTTGTAAACTCATTACGTATCCGTATTCAAGCTTGGATACTCTTCGATGCCATCCGATACGTACCAGGTACATGTTTTTTAATTGTTATATTTTTATAATTTTCGATACGTATTGAATAAATATTTTTTAATTATTTTTGATTCATATCTGATACGTATTTATCAATTATTTTAATAACTTATTAAATATTATTAATATTTATTGAAAATACACAATTAGTTTATCACGAAAATTAGATTTCTATTAATAGGAGAATCCAAAATGTGGGACATTGTCGGAGCCCCATTTGATACTCTTGAAGGTGTTGGATTGCTTGAAATTGCTAAAATATTATTAGATGAGCGGGACACATTTGGAGAGTGTTATATTTGTGATTGAAGAAGCTGATGTTGAAGAAAATGAAATTTGGACAATTAAGGATTAAGATAAAATGTTTTAGTATTTTATTTTATTTTTATTATTATGATTCTGTTTTTATTTTGTTTTATTTTAATGAAATTATGTTGAATTTTATAGCACGTAACCTAATTTTTTTAAAAAAGTCGTATCGACGTACCCGCATTGTATTCGAATTATGTATCTGCATTGGTGCTTCTTAGATTATGACATATTGAAAGTTCTGCGCCTAATCTAGGGGAAAAAGGTTTTTTGCAACCAAAGTGAAACGGCACTATAAGTTAGAGTAACAACATTTTTAACCTATGGATGTGAGTAAGAGCTCAAACTTCTGCACTTTGTCCCCCTAACAAATGGGACTGAGTAATGTCTTTCTCAAAAAAATCAGTCACACTTTATTTTCAGCTGAATATGCTGTTAGAACTTCATTTCATGTTGGATTTCTATTGATGCCTCAGTCCTCTTTCAATTGATTAGTGTAATTAAAAATCGAAATTTCATTCTTTCTTTTTGCAGCCAATATAGAGTTTGATTTTCTTTTATCAGCGATTTTATTTTCTCTTTATGATAGTGCCGTTAGTTTTTGTTCCTAACAGTGTTGTTTCTTTCATAACCGACATGCAGATGAATTGGCAGATGGCTATCTGGAAGGGTTAATCAGAAGGATAAGTGAAGCCTTGTGAATGGAGGGATATCTATATTGCATATGCAGCCTTGGACAAGCTTTTTAGAGTATGTCAAAGAATGCTTCCACTACTCATGGCACTGGGAGGGTTGACACTGGACAATACCAAAAAGGAAATAGTGGTTGAAATCTCGTTTTGTACTGTCAAATCCTGTACAATAATACTATGTAGTGAACAAGGATTTAAGGTGTAAGATTGACTGCTTGTCTCTGCAAAAAATAATGGTTTTGTTGCTCTATTCTTAAAGAAAATCTTCTTCCCTAAACCATAATTAGATGCTAGATGGGTCTAAACTAAAGTTATTATTTTATTTACCACTTTCATGTAGACAAAATACTAGCAGGAAAAGTACGTCGTAGATAGCAAGAAAGGTTTGTAAAACAATGTAATAATGGTGGTTAATGACTTCATTTATGATGTTGATATTCATTACGATAATTGTTACTCAGATTGTTTTTAAAATACAATATTCCCAACACGTGTCTAACCTTTAAAAAATCCTCTTGACACGCTTGTGGTCGAGCTGGTTTCTAGTTAGTAGCCGGGTGGGCCAATAATTTTTTTGTGGGAGAAAATAAAAAGGAAAGGATTAGACAAAAAAAGGAGAAATAAATGCATAGCTAAATTATATTGAACCTAACCCAATTGAAGGAGGAAGAGTTAAAGAGAGCTCAAAAATAAATGCAGCAGCCTTGTTTACATTATCACGAGTTGAATCTGACAAGGTCCAATCCTTGACCACACAACGGCTTGTTTTGAATTTGATGATCCTCCCAAAGTCACTAATCTAATAAAGGTGGATCCAATCTATGGATTTCTCACCTAAACAAATTAGAAAAATACTATTCATCCTCAGTGGGATGCATCCCCATTCTATGTGGATGTAAATGATGGGTGAAATTAGATGACTTATTTAATTTCACCAATCATTTAATGCCACATAAACGCCACATAGACTGAGGATGTATCCCCAGTGGGGATGAATAGCATTTCTCAACAAATTCATATCAATTGATCATTTTGGTTTCAGTTTTTTTTAATTAAAAGTCTAGCTTAAACATTAATTTTAATCACATAATCTATAAATAAACAAATTTTATCCACTTATCAACAACTTATTTTTTAAAGTACAACTCGAAAGGAGGATTAGCATTTTCTTTCTTCCATTTCTCTGTCAAAAAGTAATACTCCCACTACACAAATAGAAATAAATGACAAGGAATTTGCTATATGTACACTTTGGTGTACAGAATGTTTGACAGATAACAAAAAAAAAACCAATTTCATAGAAAAACAGTTTTGACAGAATTTCTGTTTTCCTTTTTTTTCTTCTCATCTGTCAAACTTTCTGCACACCCAAGTTTAACACATCATTTATATGTACATTATTATGTAACTGTATATGTACAAATAACAACATTATTCTAATCCAAATGACCACAAAAAATATTCTCCTCCAAATCAGCACGCTATTGTACCGTTACAAAGCCCATAGCAAAGGCCTTATCTTTTTTCCCAATTGTTTTTGTTCTTTAAAGAACCGACCATTTCATTTAACCGTTTGGACCCCCAGTTTCCCACTTAAGATTCCCACCACCCCCACCCCACCAAGAAAACTGCGTATACTATTTTTCTTCTTCATCACTAAGAAATTTTCAAATTATTTCTCAGAAGAATCATAACATCACCATGTATCCGAGAAAGCTTCTTGTTTTCTTGATTCTCGTTAGCCTTTCATTCTACCCTGATTATGTTTTACCAGAGAATGTTAATCTTGATTTCCCATTCTTCACTCTCCGAAACATTACTCTTCTTGGCGATTCTTATATTCGAAACGGCGTAGTTGGGCTAACTAGAGAACTCGAGGTCCCTTCTTCAAGCTCTGGTTCTGTAATCTACAACTACCCAGTTGCATTCTTTGATCCAGAGACAAATATAACGGCTTCTTTCTCCACAAGATTTACTTTTTCCATTGATAATGTCAATCCATCGTCGTTTGGAGACGATTTGGCCTTTTTTCTTTCTCCTAATAACCAGACATTGGGGAGTCCGGGTGGGTACTTGGGCCTTGTGAACTCATCACAGTTAAACAAAAACAGGTTTATTGCAATTGAATTTGATACAAGACAGGATTTGCACTTCAATGATCCAGATGAGAATCATGTGGGATTGGATATAGACAGCCTTATTTCAATCAAGACTGCCAATTCGATGATTCAGGGTGTGAATTTGAAGGGTGGAAATCTGATTACTGCGTGGATTGATTACGAGAATGAGAAGAAAAAGTTGGAAATTTTCTTGAGCTATTCAAGTTTTAAGCCTGAGGAGCCTCTCTTGAGAGTTGGTATTGACCTTTCTGATTATCTTAAGGAGTTTATGTATGCGGGATTTTCTGCTTCTACTGAAGGGAGTACAGAACTGCATTGCATTCAGAATTGGAGTTTTCGGACTATGGGATTTCGCCCCATAAGGCCAAAAATTCATCCTTACAATGTTTCTGATAGTTCTGTGCCACTTAGACCACCAATTGCAGTTTCTGATTCCGGAAATAGGCATCATAAGAGGATTGCTTTGGGACTTGGGATTGGTTTTCCTGCCTTCTTTTGCACGGTTCTTGTGGGATTTGGTTGGATTTCTGTCAAGAAATGCAAGGGTATCGAATCAGAGAGAACTATCAAAGCAGAGATGGTGACAGGGCCAAGGCAGTTTAGTTACAAAGAACTCAAATCAGCCACAAGAGGATTTCATTCTTGCAGGATTTTAGGCCATGGAGCCTTCGGCACTGTGTTTAAAGCCTTTTTCATGGATTTAGGAACTATTTCTGCTGTGAAAAGATCGAAACATACCCACGAAGGAAAAACCGAATTCCTCTCAGAATTATCAATTATAGCTTCTTTGAGGCACAAAAACATAGTCCAGCTCCAAGGTTGGTGTGTCGAAAAGGGTGAATTGCTTCTTGTTTACGACTATATGCCCAATGGGAGTCTTGATAAGGTACTATACCAGGAATCTGAAAATTGTAATCCTCTAAAATGGACATATAGGTACAATAGTGCAGTGGGATTAGCCTCTGTTCTCACTTATCTGCATCAAGAATGCGAGCAGCAAGTGATTCACAGAGACATAAAGACTAGTAATGTTATGTTGGATGGGAATTACAATGCAAGATTAGGTGATTTTGGACTGGCAAGGCTTATGGACCATGGGACGAGCCCTGTTTCGACTCTTACTGCAGGAACTATGGGATATCTTGCTCCAGAATACCTTCAATATGGGACAGCAACAGAGAAAACTGATGTGTTCAGCTATGGTGTAGTTATACTTGAACTGGCTTGCGGACGAAGGCCTATTGAGAGAGAAGACGAAAGCCAAAAACCAGTGAATTTGGTGGATTGGGTTTGGAGAAAGTATTCTGAAGGAAAATTAATTGAAGCAGCAGATCAAAGAATGAATGGTGACTTTAAAGAGGAAGAAATGAAAAGGCTGCTGCTTATAGGCCTAAGTTGCGCCAATCCCGATAGTAGTGAAAGGCCTTCAATGAGGAGAGTTTTTCAGATTCTCAACAATGAGGCTGATCCTGTGGTAGTGCCGAAGGTGAAACCGAGTCTTATTTTCTCAAACAGCTTGCCATTGAGTATTGACGAAATCATTTCAGATTGCGAAGAATGCCGCTCGCCTGGTTCTAAGTTCGAAATCAAAGTTTATTGAAGTTAAATTTTGGGAATAAGAAGCTAGCTATTATTTTCTTATTATTTTTGTTAGGTGGTTTTGAATCTTTTGATTATCTAACTACTACGAATGTTAACTAGCTAGAGTTCAATGCCATTTCATTGAACATTTCAAGTGTGCATCAGCCTGCATTGTACTTCACAAATTTTAGGTATTTGAGTTTACGGGATTAATCACTATAGGTGATATATAGATCATTATTCACACTGCTGTTGCCCATTTTACGTGCTGTAAAATTGCATTATTGTCGATAGAAATGCAATGGAAAACTCGTAAATTTTCTAATTTATCTGAATGTTTGCATCAGTCTATTATCACAACTGTGTTATCCAACTTTTTTGTTTAGCAGAAGCTAAGAGCTTGAAAACGCGCTAAGAAACATTGCTTCTGTCGGCTTTTCTGTGCAACAGTACCAGCAGCGAAAACTTTTCTAAAAGGGAATGCAGCCAATACTTGAAAGACTCATCCTCTGGCAAAATTTTGACTTTATTAATTCAATCGCTTAACCACATCAAGACTGCAAGTTCATTAAATCGTGCTACATTTTAAGAAAACTTCAGAACGCTAACAGAATTCCTACTCTAGTAAATAGGTATAAGAACTGCCACCGATGCTATGACAATAGACTTGAACATAACTGAAGATGGTATACATCCTTTGTCCCTCCGAAAGAACAGAGCTTCATAAACTGGCATATTCAACATAGCAATTAATCCACAAATAATAATTTGTGGGATTAAATTTTCCAATGCCCCAAATGTTGTACCAAAAGCTAGTTTCTTGATTCCCCAACTAAAGCTGAAAAGATTCAACAATGCAAGTGTTGAAATAATTGTAAACATTATAGATGAGTTTCCGAATTCCATGATTTCTTGCTCATATCTCTTTAGAACATCATCATCCACCACCTTGCCAGTGACTACAAATCCTGTTTCAGAGAAGCCTAATTGCCTGAAAACTGTGTCAATGGAGGCAAAGAAATGTGATGTCGTCCGCCTAATCACCCACATTCTTTGAGAATTCCACCATCCCTTCAATGTGTTGCCACAAATTAGGTCCTCTATTAAGCTGTAAGCAGTTTTTGCAACAAATGCATATGCAAATGGTAGGAACCATAGTCCAAATACCTGACATATATACACGAGACATGTTAGAGAAGATTTTCAGCCTAACCTGATTCTCCTCGAGGATCCTTTCGTGTCAATTTTTAAACCAGCACGCAAACACAGGGAGATAAAAGTACATACCTTCGGGAACAGCGGCACGCCGTGGAGTAGGCAAAGAGCAGGAATGACCACATAATATACTGTGGGTAGTGAAACCGGTGCCCATAATAAGTACATACAATATCCTATTTGGGCACCAAATTTGATCTTCCCATGTCCATATATTAAGGGACAGTACTTGGAAAGGAAAATTTGAAACATGCCTTCAGTCCATCTCTTGTACTGTACAAGAAGTTGATCTAAGGTTGTCGGAGCAACACCCCGGAATGCCCTTTTTGTGGGATGGTAATAAACAGGTTTCCATCCCCTGCATTGGATTGTTAAGCCTGTTACCATATCCTCCGCAGCAATTCCATAAACTAATCCCATCTGCACATTTTACAAAATCCATGATGCTAGTACAATACTTTCGTGCCTAGAATTAGATTGTCAGCATGTTTGGCAGTGCTTAGAATTAAGTCAAAGTTTTAAGAGAAAAACAAACCTCTTTTCCCCATTGAGAGCCATTTTCATAGCTACAATTTGAAACAAGTTTACTGGCTTCCTCCAATTCTTTGATTGTTCTTCCCTTTATCTTATCTTTCACGACATTCCATTCAACCTTACAATTTTCAGTGTACTTCCTTCCACAAAGACTTTCCCTCCGGTGGAAACATCCAGTGCCAATATATGGCATAGCACCATAACCATCGAACCCAGCAAGCTCAATCTTCACAGGAAAGATTTGGAAGTTCAGTGCACCAAATATTATAGATGTGGAAATATTTCAGCGCACCAAATATTATAGATGTGGAAATATTTCAATGATCTCCGTGATTTTGTTATATTTTTCAGATATAATAATTCTTGGTGTACATGTGGACACCCCTATGTACAAAAAATTATGTACATGTAGCATGTCCCTTTCAGATATTGTTTAAACTAGGAAAGGAAACTCAACATTCAAACACCAAGAAAGAGAGGAAAAGGAATCTGGGAGTGATAAACGACATACCTTGAAAGCTGTAAATCCTCCATTTGAATAAAGATCATTCTTTGTAATATTCTCAAAGCTCTGTGGATATTGGACATAGGATATTTGTTGCCCTTGCTTCTCATCCATGAAGAAACATAAGGCGTCCCATATTGCATCTGGATCATTTGAGTACATATCACAGTCCACGTTGAGGATCATTGGAGCGTTACTTATTTCTGATGACACACGTATCTGCACAATACAAGTGATTATTCACTTACAAACAGTAAATACAACTAGTGTTTTTCACCCTTCTCTTATAGTTAACGTGAACATGACTCAAGCCTTAAATTGAAGAGCTAAGGCCATTCGATATTAAATTTATGAAATGAACAAAACTTGTTTGGTAAATAGAAAAAGAAACACCTAAATCTTGATTACCAATGCATTCAAAGCTCCAGCCTTAAAATTATGTGCACATTGTGGTTTCTTTTCGCGGGATACATATACGAGTGTTGGCAATGGATTTCCATCAATATCAACTGCATTCAAGTTCCATCCTTCTATTAAAATCTGAAGAGCGTAATTGTAAGTTATATAAATATCTTTGACAGTGCAAGTATTAATGAAGAACAATTGAAAATGAATGTAGAGATGACCTGAACAATTGATTGATGATCCTTCTTTGTGACCTTAGAGTTCCACTCTGAGAACCCTTTATGTTGACCCTTTATTTCATCCGAAAGGTGACCCTTTTCAATGGAAGAAAGGATTCGAGTTTTCATATCTGCATATAGTTTCTGAAAAGAGAATTGACAACAAATGTCAATGAGAAAGTCATTTCGAATTAATATCACCAATATAGGCATGGGGCGAACACAGGGGTGACCTGAAATCGAAATATTGTATTCTTAATACTATTTCAAAGTGCTCATGATTTAGTTTTCTACGTCGTTAATGACGTATGAAACGATCAATCGTAACAAATGTTACGACTTGTCAAAGCAGGCAGTTCAAAATTAGTATTTCGAAAATTTCGATAACATGCTAACTTTAAAAATTTTCCGACGATCGTATGCTAATAGAATCTACAAATTGTTTATATCATCTCAAAACTTATTTCGAGAACTACATTATACGCATATCGAATAGTCTAAAAATATATCAAAAATAGTTAAAGACGAGTTTAACTTGAGTCTTAAAGAAAGACATCTAACTCGTATTTTCTTTAAAAAATTCAATTATTTCATTAACATTTATTATTTTTGCGATACAAATTTTTCAATGTAATTTTCATCATTTTATTAGGAAAATTTATATGAAATATAATATCAAAAAATTTCGAAATTTTACATTCGGAAAAGTCATATCCCATGTAAATTTTCGGATGCAAAATTACATGGGTTCTGATTTTTTTTTGCATGTAAATTTTCGATTGTAAAATTTCTCCAAACTTCTTTGCAAATTTGATTGTGTCTCCTAACTTTAAACTTCTGCGTCTGCCCTTGAATATATGCATAATGTGATTTGTTACCTTAGTAGTCTCCCATTCTTTTGCGGAGACCGGATCATGTAAATCAATATTGAGATTGAAATAGGCTTCGGGTGACCTCGGTTCGACTGCAAATTTCTTGCAGAAAGGTATCCAATATTTTGAGAACATAGAGGCCTCCCAGAGAGCATAGAATGTTAACTCTGAACACCCGTCGTCTGAGAGATAAACACTCAGCTTTTCGGGTGGATAATTGTATGCCATTACTGACAAGACTGTGTTCATTACCATTGATGGAGGCTCTAACATAGGATCTGCAGTGCAAACAAAAATATCGACCCCTGGCAATTCGTCTTCGTATCTGCAAGATGGAGAACATTTTCAAGACACACACAAGGAAATTCTATTTAAAAAAGTTACAGAAAAAGAAATACCAATCTGTGTAGCACAAAAATGTTAAGGCCTGCATCATTTGTGCAACATTTGCTTGATTTTAGGTTATTCACATCTAGATGACAATTATATATTTTCACATGACTCATTTAATTGAACGTGTAGACGCTTAAACTGATGCTTTAGCAATACTGATATAAGATAACATTAATCTTTGAAAAATAAGCAGAATTTTATATCACAGATATGTGTACAATATTTCTTGTTCTGCTATTGGCTATAGGCCACGGCGTTTTGCAATATCACTTGTTTTGTGATTGGCTAAACGGGCAAAAAATCGCATTACGTGGCAGAATTTGACCCACGTGATTGATATGGCACGAGATGGTCAGCAATTGTCCAGATCAATGTTTGACCACAAGGACATTATGCCAGCCCGTGAGTCCAAGTTGACACGACACGGTCCAATAATGAGTTTTGCTAGGTGTAGATTCGGGCCGCAATTATTTTATTACCATTGACCCCCGTCTTGTAAGAGAGTTGTCATCCCCGTCTTGTAAGAGAGTTGTCATCCAATTCCGAATGTACAAACCTTAAAAGCCATCCAATAATACCGTGTAGTAACAAGAAGAGTCAACCTAATCCTAAGTAAAGCTGACCAAATGCTACAAAAAAAGTTGCGTATTTTAAAACGCTCTTATTTACTTTATAAATTTATTAAGTTTAGTACATACTCGATGTGGTCAGAGTCTCAGAGAAACAAAACCTCGGAAATAAACATGGTTTTAATGTAGCTTATCGTCGAGTTCAGTCTTGTTTTGCATAGGTTCACGACAGAGAAATTTTAACCTTAAAAGATACGTACCTGGAAGAGAGTCTGTCCTTGAAGGGATATCGATAAACAACGTTCAAACGAACTGCCTGAGTGACCATCCAATATAAACCGAACAAAACCTCGGAAATAAACATCCCAATCCAAGCATATCTTCCAGCTTCTCCTTTTCTTGGTATATACATTAATCTGTACAACCATATCAGAAATATACTCAAAAGTATTGTTAAAGAAAATAGCTTATAAGCATTTCGCCCTTTTGCTGGTTTTGTCTCAAACAAAGGCAGATATCCATTTGCACTCATCTTCTCTAATTCTCTCTGTATCTCTCTATCTCTCTCTCTCTGAAACAAAACACGCACACACTATTATGTAGCTGCCTGCCTCTGAACAGTATCCACTGATGAATATTATAATTATACTTTGGTCAAATGGAGTGCTGTTTTGTTGAATGTAAGAAGATTTGATTACTTTGAAATGTCTGTAATAACTCCAATATAGATGACGTGAGAGCATACTGCACGTGAAATAATTGTCTGGATCTGGAAGAAATTTATTACGAAACTTTTTCACTCATTGCATTATTGAATGAATCTAACCTCAATGGTCAAAGAATCATAAAATAATATTGGACAAAAATTCAAACAGATTCTAGAAGTCTGTAATTGTGAATGTGCGACTTTTTGATTAAATGAAAGCTGTGGGGTATTATGTGATGGATAATACTTGTAGTATATCACAAGTTATATAAGAGTGTTCATAATAGATACCCGGCACTTTTTCATTGGTTGGGGTGCCGATCCCACAAGTCCCCCAACCAATAGAGGGGCGCCGGGTGTCCATTATGGACACCCTTATGTATCTTGTGATGTACCACAAGAATAATTCTTATGTAATAGGGATGGTTTGTCATATTCGAATATGATCCATTTTTCTGTAATAGGGATGGTTTGTCATATTCGAATATGATCCATTTTTCTTTTCTTTAATATTATTACTATCATCGTATTATCATAACATGAATCTAAAAGATTTGGATAGAGATATATTATATTTCATCCACACTGAATGTGTTGGGTTCAAATACACAATATAACGTCACCCCGTCAAAGAAAGGTAAAATGCTCCAAGCCAATATATCACCTTGACAACAATTTCACTTTCATTCTACATTGAAGTCCACGTATTATATAAATATTCACGTATGAACTTGGGGGCTATTGTTACATTTCTTCTAAAGATGCTCCATTCATCACCAAGTGACATCAACTAAAAAAAGACAATATTATTTTTAAAAAATAATAATAATAATAATAAAGATGTGTATGGACCAGTATGGTATATGTCCTTGTTGATAAGTAAAATAATATCTATCTTGAATAAAATAATCACACAAATCAAAGATTCTTTTTTAATGATAACGTTTTCTATTTTCATGGGAGTTTTGTGCAATAAAGTTTCGAAAAATTTGTAGTGGAGATTCCCAATCTTTCGTAAAAGTGCAGATGGATCCTAAATTTTTAAATTATAGTAAATACATATCAAACCTTTCAAAAACATACATTTCATTAAAAGAATTCGTTAGTTTACCAAAAGTTAAACGTTTGGCCATTTTTAAAAAGGTAAAACTGATAAATTTACATTTTCTTATCTAAAACAATTAAAATAATCAAATATGAAGACACAATAAAAAAAAGGAGAAAAAAATTTTCTTTCATATTCTTCCACATAAAATTTCCACCTCCAGTTTAATTTTTCCATATCAGTTTGGAATTATCGCCATGATACACAACTCAGCTTGCAAAATGAATATGTAGAAAAATAATTTTTCCTATATCATTTTTTATTGTGCACGAAAATAAATATGTAGAAAAAAGAGTTTTAAAATAATGATTGTCAAATAGGGACTTAATTTGTGCAAGTGTCATAGTAAATGTTATACTTGAAATCAAATATTACATGAAAATAAATATTATTATACAAAACGAAAACTCCATTCGTACATGGTAGATGGTCATGCTAAGAACTAATTTTTGCTTCTCTCTCAGCAATAAACAATAAGCCCAATTATTCGAATGCAGTAACCCACCTCCATTGCCATCTAATTTGTGCAATTGCTGACGTCACTCTTTTTCTCTCCTCATATACTCATGCGATAAAGATTTTTGTCTTTAAACGGTATAAAACGAAACACTTGTTTTTGAACTTTCAAAATCTTTCCTTTAAGAACCCTTCTCTGATTTTTCTTCGATTCAACCAAATGGTGGTTTTGAATTTCTTGAAAAAGAATTTATATATATATTTTAATTATTCTTTTTTACCGCGATGTGATTTTCTTCGAGGCTTTTTGGAGTTGCAGAGTGTTATTCATAAGATAAATTAAAGACCACACGTGGCACCGATAAATTACATGGCAAACAGTTTGGGGGGCCCACGCCTTACACAACAACACGAACGACCCTGTTATATATAAGGCGACCCCTTATGTAAACGGCCTGACCGCATTTAGACGGACCTCCCATGTAGGAAACGATCCTGACGAGGCGATTGTGAGATTCTTAACAAATCTTATGTTTAATGATTGACAAGAAAATTTACTTCTATCACCATCTCTACACACCTATATGATTAAATCCTAATTGCCAAGATATGACTTATGGATACAAAAGAAGCTTTAGTATTTAATGCTTTGATTGATTGATGTATGAGACAAGAAAGGTCAATCCGTCTGATGAGGCCACGCGCCATATCATCCAATGGGCCTTGTTTATCTTACTCAAGTATAAAAGCTCACACTTAGTGCCATTCAAATGTAATGGTCAAATCCTAATTGCCAAGATATGACTTATGGATACGAAAGTGGCTCTAGCATTTAATGCCTTGATTGATTGATGTATGAGATAAGAAAGGTCAATCTGTCCGATGAGGCCACGTGCCATATCATCCAATGGGCCTCGTTTATCTTACTCAAGTATAAAAGCTCACTCTTAGTGCCATTCGAATGCAATGTAAACTTAGACTCTCAAATCTATAATCTTGCTACATAAATTTTTCATTATATATTCACAAGCCGACCCCTTTTTTATTGACTGAAGGCTCACGTTCAAAACTCTCCCACACCCTAAATTACTTCTCCAACTAACTTGACCGTTGGAGTGTGCGTGGCTAACTCCATTTCCCCCGGAGAAGGCCACGTGTGACTAACGGTTTGTTCAAGTGTGCACGAATCCAGCTTGTGTAGACGTGAGAGTCCTTGGATCTGTTGGCCATACGTACATTTTTTGGGGTCTAACACAGTCTTGATTGTTCTTGGGGGTAATTTAATGCCTTGATTGATTGATGTATGAGACAAGAAATGTCAATCTGTCTGATGAGGCCACGTGCCATATCATCCAATGGGCCTCGTTTATCTTACTCAAGTATAAAAACTCACTGTTAGTGCCATTCGAATGTAATGAAAGCTTAGACTCTCAAATCTATAATCTTGCTACATAAATTTTTCATTATATATTCCCAACCCGACCCCTTTTTTATTGATTGAAGGCTCACGTTCAAAACTCTCCCACACCCTAAATTACTTCTCCAATTAACTTGACCGTTGGAGTATGCATGGCTAACTCCATTTCCCCCAGAGAAGGTCACGTGTGACTAACGGTTTGTTCAAGTGTGCACGAATCCAGCTTGTGTAGACGTGAGAGTCCTTGGATTTGTTGGCCATACGTACATTTTTTGGGGTCTAACACGGTCTTGATTGTTCTTGGGGGTAATTTGCCTGTGTAGACGTGAGAGTCCTTGGAGCTGTTGGCCATACGTACATTTTTTGGGGGCTAACACAGTCTTGATTGTTCTAGGGGGTAATTTGTGTGGGGTTTGAGAGATTCTTGCTAGGAGTTTGACTTTTGAAAGACTGTTCAAGATTGATGAAGCTGATCAAGAATTTTGGCTGTTCGTCAGAATTTACTGCCGTGGAAAAACCCTCCTTGGGATTGAAATTTTTGATGATTTCTATGGTTTATCACACGATTGGAGTTGGAGTTTTTGAGTGATTATTAGTGTTAGTACTTAATACCTTTGCCATTTTCTTGGTTTATCTTTTCTTCTGCTTATACAGTGAGTTTTTTTGAATGATTATTCAGTTTCATGTGAATACAGGTTTCTCCGTTTGATTATTCTTTGCAGAGTTCAAAATTAAGATTCTAAAGAAGCACAAATATTCAGGTAAACTATGTTGCATTCAATTATAATTGATTTTATCTGCCTGACAACTGCTGAATTGTTATTCAGGTTAATAAATCTTTAAGTGATTGAAGACTTCTGTAGTTATGTTATTTTTCATTCATCTTATGAATTCGGAACTGTAACAAGAGGAAAGTGTCTTGAAGTACTGCAAGAAAATGTTTATTCTTCCCCTTTCCTTTCTTTGAATATTTACTTGTTGTACATTTTCTTAGATAGTTGAAACTCAGAACAACTTCTGTATATTTCACTAGCCTATTTGCGGCATTGTATTTCCGTAACATTTTAAGACAATGAAATAGTATCTGCATTAATGAAGTCTGACATTGTTTAAGTAAGGCTAGTAGATCTAATTTCTAACGTGTTCTTGAAGTTGAATGCTCATGTTCATTGGAAAGAGAATATCTTAATCTCACAAAGATTTTGTGAGGAATTTTCATCCATATAATTCTTCATTGAAACATGATCATTAAAGCTACTTAGGCAAATAGATGTGAGTAGAATTATAAGGTCTTCAAGCAAAACGAAAATAGTGTCTTAAGGGTCATAATGAATGTTCTGCATACACCAGTCTTCTGTACTTCTGAATTTTGAAAATGAAGTTATCTTTTGACTGATCTATAGTTTATTTATCCGTAGAAGTTTTGTATTGGCGTTCCTTTTAAGTACGACCGATGATTTCTAATTGCAATTGATCTCTCAAATCTACGTTTTGATCCTTCAGTGCTTGATGGCAACTTCTTGTGGGACAATTCATGAGGTTTTAGTACTCGGATTATATTTACTACTACTTTGACTATCTATGTGGTGATCCATATAATATTTTCTTTTCATAGAAGCAACCTTATTTCTCCTTGAGCTCCCAGTTTTATTCTCGTTTTTCTACTCATTTTCAATCACACATTTTTCAATAAAAAAGTATTTTCCATCACATCGGTAACTTTTTTTTTTTTTTTAACCACATATTCACCGTCACATCACAAAAAAAAAATGCATTCTTTTCATTTTAATGTGCATCAAACACACTCATAATTTGTTTATCCACTTTCAACAATCATCTTTTTGTTGGTCATTCTTTGTTTATCCCCTTTATATCAATATTTTCTCTCTGTCTGTTCTTGTCAGGTAACAATCTGATAAGATAAGAAGTATGGTAGCAAAAGACCATCAGAAAAACAAAGGATCTGCCAAAGCAGAGATGGGAGAGATCGATACCAGTGCACCATTTCAATCCGTCAAAGATGCTGTTAGTTTATTTGGTGAAGGTGCTTTTTCAGGGGAAAAACCTGCTATTAAGATTCCAAAACCACATTCTGCAGAAGTATGTAGCATTCCTTCTTTGTTTCATTACTGGTATTGACCACAATAAATTATCTTTTAAATTGCTTACCTTTGGAGCGTGTAGTGTCAACTTGCAATTTAAGGACATAGGATGCAGCATATCTTTGTAGGTTCTTAGGCAAAAATATGGACGAAGTGGCTATTTTTTTATTGTTGATATTCCACTTCCAAAACATATGGGAAGTGTTTTGTGCGCAGAGCTAGACAGGATTTGGACTGTATAATAGATGAGATTTTAGATTCTTTTTCTTTAATACTATCCAGTAGTGTCCATTCTATGTTATCAAACATGCCACTGGTGTTTAGATAAGCTTACTACTAAATCTCTTCTTCTTTTGTTGAACCATGCTATAGGTACAGAAAGATTTGCCAGACAATTGCAAGATTTTTGAAATCAAAGGCCGGGATTTATACAAAAAGGCAGGAAAAAAAAAATCAAAGGCCACAATCATTTTCTGGTAAGTTTCTATTCCTCTTTTGTTTACATAAGGGAAAATTGGAGAAAATGTGTCAGCAGCAATTATTGCGTATGCCTGTTCAAATTTTGGCTCTTTTCTAAAAGTTCCACTTCATGACAATTTCCATTTCCGTGACTTAGTTTATAAAAGGTCAAGGATATATGTTCTTGCATTCGTGTATCAGGCAGTGCATGCAATCTTTGTGTTGGTCATCAAGTAGTTCTACTAATTCTTTCGAACTCTGGATTTATGGGATTTTTTTCTATTGAATTATGGCAAGCATATGGTAGTTGATTTTCTGTTAGCAAACATTTATAACATAGTACAACCAATTACTGAAATTTAATGTGGTGAAACAAAGAACATATTTTTGACATCCATATTTACTGCCTAGTAATGTATATGCACACTCAAGCTATTGGAGGTTGTCCTGCATGGAACAATCTTTGGGTTAAGTTACTTCTTAATGTTGTATGTATATCAATGTCTTATCACTTCTTCCTCAGTATACAATTAAAGTTGCGATATCCTGCTATTTTGTCGTCTTCTCAAAGAGTGCTGGCAAAGGAGATTTGGCCCAAAAAGAGTTGATTAAGTTTTAGGAACAAATGATTAATGCTGAAACTACGAAAGTGCAGACCATTGTAGAGCTTGAAAGGCTAAACGGATTGTTGAAGATCTGACCCAGAAGCTCAAAACTCATAATGAATCAAAGGATATAGCAATTATGGCAACAGAAGCAGCTAAGCATCAGGCAAAGCAATTTGAAGAAACAAGAAATATTGAATCTGAAGGAAATGATGGATCTGCGAAGGTAGACCTGGAAACTGCAAGAGTTCAGTACACGACTGCTGTCACTGAACTTGATGCAGCAAAGCAAGAACTCAGGAAAATCCGGGAGGAATATAATGAATCTGTGGAAGCAAAAAATCTTGCCATTGAGCAAGCAGCCGAAGCTGAGAATTTTGCAAAGCAAGCATAGAAAGATCTGGTCAGTTATCCAAAGATATTGACTTTACATGTAACACCCCAAAAATTTTAGAATAAAATTATTTGTTCTATATATTATATTTTATGATTTTGAAAGTTGAGAGACTAAAATAAAGTTTATGTTTTAAATGGGCCAAATATTTAACTTTTTATAGAGTGACCAAAAGTATATCAACATTGGGTTCATTTTGTAGTTCGCATTAAATAACGTAGATTGGGCTCAAGAAAATGTAAGTTCGAATAAGTTAAGCCCAAATTATTTCAAATCAAAGAAAATAGTCTTTTTATGATAATTAGAAAAAGAATATAATATTTTATTTCCTAATCACGTTTATCTAATATTTTGAAAAGATTTAATCATATCCAAATTCTTCTTCTTCCAACCGATAACCTGTTACACGTGTAATATAATTTTTCAAATAGTATTATATTATAACAAATTCTTATCACATTGGATAGACACAATTTTTATCACAATTCTACTATGACTCAACTACCGTTTTTTTCTGCATAAATAGTGTGCTCATATCTCACAATTCACCACACAAAATTTTACACAACAGTTTTCATATAGAAAGCAGCTTTAAATTCTAAGTATATTTTTATATCAAAAGTTCGTTTCATCAATCAAGGTAAGATACTTTTGTGTAAAGTTGTTTTGTTTTTTTATGTTTTTATGTTCAGTAATTTATGCATAAATTGCCAATGGACATTCGGGTTCGACCTAATGAGAAATGAGAAGATATGGGTATCTCGCTTGGTCACCGATATACTCCATAAATGAGAAATGAGAAATGTGGTATGAATTGTCTATATTATTGTAATGTAATTGCATATGGGAACTGCACGTATCTTATTGAGTGTTTTCAAAATACTCACTTTTACAATTTTTACAGGCTAGTTCGGGTCGATTGGAGGTGTGGCGAGATGGTGATGCAGACTGCCCATGGATTTCACCCTACGAGAATATTAAGTTTTACCGCTTTTTAAATTTATTAGTTAGTTTGTTTTGTCCAGTAACAATAGTTGAGAATGCTTAAATTGTTTTAAAGACATGATTTATGATTCTAATTTAAATTTATGAATGTTTTGTTTATTTAGAAAAATAGAAATATAATGTTCCGCATTTTAAGTACATGAAATTATGTTTGGTAACACCTCAACATGTGTGAAATTTTGGGGCGTTACATTACAGGAGGCGAAGCTTCTAGTACTCAAGTACAAGATGAGGAAGCAAAGATCTATGCTGACAAGATAAGCCGAAGTAGTCATATAAAGTCAGACTCGAGGAGTTGGCTAAAAAATTGCTTGCTTTGAAGAAAAGTCTTGATCCCAATGTTAACAAGAATCTGGAGACTCAGCTGGCTTGAATCATTTCAGAAATTGAGGCTCTACAAAAAGGGATGGAAAAAGCAAGGGCTTCAAATCTCAATTCTGTGAGGACCATTATTGCGGAGTTGGATGATGCTAAGGAATTGCTACATAAAGTGGCAGAAGAGGAAAACTCGCCAAGGAGCCTAGTGGAGACCCTTAAGATAGAACTGGAAAACACAAATAGAGATCATTTAGAAATGAAGGAGAGGGAAACAGGAACTGAATCCTCTGCAGGTAATCTGCATATCAAGTTCCAGAGAGCCAGTCTGAGCTTGAAGCAGCCTTTGCAGAAGAGGCAAAATTAAGTGGCATATCCGATGAAATGATTTCTACCATCTACCAGCTATCATTGGAGAGTGAAAGTGCTAAGCATGAAGTTGAAGAGATGAAACGCAACACTGAAGAACTTAAGAAAGAAGCAGAAGTAGCAAAAATTGAGCTAGAAGCAGCAGAAACTAAGCTTAAAGTTAAATTGAACGAAGCCGAAGAAGTGAAGGCAGCGGATGCTAGAGCCTTAAATAGTTTGTTGTCTGAGAAAATCAATGATGCACGTTCCCCGACTTCAGAGCCCGGTGCTCAGATCCCAATTTCAAGAGTTGAATTCAAGTCATCAAGCCGAAAGGTTGAAGAATCTAAAAAGTTAACAGAAATGAAAGTAGCAGCTGCAATAGCTCAGGTAGAAGCTGTGAGAGAAAGTGAAGAGGAGGCCCTCCAGAAGTTGGAGAATAGCCAAAAGTAGATTGAGGGCATGAAAATTGTTACTCATGAGGCTTTGAAGAAAGCAGAAATGGCTGAGGCAGCCAAGTGGCAGTGGAGGGAGAGCTCAGAAGGTGGCGTGATCGGGAACAAAATAAGGCAGTGGAAGCAGCATCTCTGGTTCTTGCTGAAACAGAGAAGACCTTTGAATCTTCTCCACAAAATTACCAAAACCGAAAGCAGAAGTCAGCTAAGTAATGGAAACACAAAAATTAGAAATAGTGAAAACCTCCACGACAAAGAAAGTACCAGGCAATCTTAGTAGTGTGTTTCATGAGAAAAACAAAATCGAGGGTGGTACGCCTTCTTCCTTGCCTAGTGAGTAGCCTGTATGGTGAGTGTGGTGGACAAATTTTTTGTGCTAAATATGTAAGTATTGTATAATTTGTAAATTCATTTCCTTTTTCTGTTTTAGATTATTATTGTTAGGTGACATGGCACATTGGTTAGAATATTCTTGTTAGTTTGTTAGGGAACAAATATTGTATATATGCCACCATAGGAGCTGATCAGATTTGTGTGAATGAATACGGTAACCTGATATTTCGGTTCCAACTATTCCCCATTTTTTATCTTCCAGAATTTATTATGGTATTAGAGCTATAGCTTCCGTTTCCAACCATGGCTGCCAATCCCATAACTCCTGCGGTTTCGGGAGATATTCAGCACCCATCCATATATCCACAGCCAACAATTCCATTGGGAGATCCTGCCGGTGGTTCTGCCCTTCATGTGCAAACTACCTCTCGAATCATGGATGATCCTAATAGTCCTTACTACCTTCACTATGGTGAAAACGCTGGTGCACAACTTATTTCCATCATCCTTTCTGATGAGAATTATTCCACTTGGAGCCGGGCAATGACCATGGCCTTGAGTGTCAAAAACAAAGAAGGATTTATCGATGGCTCCATCCTCAAGCCAGATCTGAATGATCCATTATTTGTTCCATGGAGAAGGTGCAATCACGTGGTGTATGCGTGGATAATCAACTCCATTCCCAAGGAGCTCTACCCTAGCGTCATGCATAAAGATTCAGCACGAGAAATCTGGCTCGAGCTCTATGATAGATACAATCAGAGCAATGGCCACGTATTTACCAATTGTAGAAACTGATCTCCTCAATTTCACAGAACAATGGATCCCTTAGCTCCTATTTTAATAGATTGAAGGGACTTTGGGAGGAATTAGCCAACTACAGACCATAGCATCACAATCCCTATTATTCCAATGATCAAGTAATGCAGTTTCTGATGGGCCTGGATGATTCTTACACTGCAGTCAGAAGTGAAATCCTTCTTATGGATCCAATTCCCTCGTTGAATCGTGTCTTTGCCTTAGTTTCTCAAGAAGAAAGGTAAAGGCAAATCACATCTCTGCATCAAAATGTCGAATCTGCTGCTTTTGCTAACCAAAGTGCTTTCAATCAACAACATCTAATTAGAAACACGAACATCAACAATTCAGGGCAAATGAGGGATAGACCCATTTGCAGCTATTGTGGACTTACTGGTCACAAAAGAGACAAATGCTATAAGCTTCATGGCTTCCCGCCGGGCATCGACCGACTTAAAAGTTCTTTGATAATCTTTCAGCACATCATGTTGTAGCAGCCAATGATAGTGAAAAATTGTCTAACCTTAGCTGTGTTACTATAACTCCTGATCAATATCAGTAAATTATATCCATGCTGAGACCTCAACTAGAAGGCTTCATACCTTCATCTGCTGCTCGCTCCATCGCTCCTGCTTCAGTAAATCATGTTGGGAACTTGCTCATTACATTAACCCAACCTCCAGCAACATCTTCAGCATTTGCTTTCTCAGGTAGTAACTAAGCCTGCTCCATCCACACATACACAGAAAACACATGGATAGTTGATACTGGAGCAACGGATCACATTGTTTGCTCTGTCCAGCAACTCACAACCATCACAGCTACTGTTAATGGGAATGTCAGGTTGCCAAATGGTCATGTTGCAGCTGTCACACACATAGGGACAGTCAAATTATCAAGTGACCTTATTTTAGCAGATGTTCTATGCGTTCCATCATTTACTTTTAATCTTCTATCTGCTAGCAAGCTAGCCTTAGTTCATCAATATTGCTTAATCTTTATATCTGCTTGCTGTTTTATTCAGGATCTTTTGTCTTGGAAGATGATTGGAGTGGGGAAAATTGATGGTGGCCTCTACCATTTACAACTTCAACCATCTCAACAACATCAACATCTTCAAACTCCTCTATCCAGCTTATCTTAGTCAGCTGTCAACACCATCTACTGTCACTCCTTCAATCTCTAGCATAGTCGATTAGGACATCTTCCTAACTTTAGAATTTCTGTTATCAATAAAGCTGTACCTGAAGTCCTTAGTAAGTCAGGTTTTCAATGTACTGTGTGTCCCCTTGCTAAACAGCACACACTCCCCTTTCCTGTTAGCACGCATGTATCGAGCAATATCTTTGAATTGATTCATATTGATATATGGGGACCCTTTCTTCATCCTTCTATTGATGGCTCTAAATACTTTGTTAACATTGTAGATGATTACAGTATGACTACATGGACCTACGTCATTCACAATAAATCACAAACCAGGAACATCATCACATCCTTTTACAACCTGATTTTAACCCAATTTAACACCAAAATAAAGCAAATTCGGTCGGATAATGGACCTGAGTTTCACATGACAGACTTTTACCAATCCAAGGGCATTATTCATCAACTAAGTTGCGTAGAAACCCCTCAACAAAATGGGGTGGTCGAACGCAAACACCAACACCTCCTTAATGTGGCCAGGTCCTTAATGTTTCAAGCCAATCTCCCTATTCAGTTCTGGGGTGATTCTATTCTCACAGCCACGTATCTTATCAACAGAATTCCCTCACCCAAGCTCTCTGAAAAGACTCCTCACGAGCTCCTTTTCAACACAAAACCAAAATATTCTCACTTAAGGGTGTTTGGTTGCCTATGTTATGCATCTACCGTCAAAAGAAACAGGTCCAAATTTGATCCTAGGGCTGATGCCTGCATCTTCCTTGGTTGGAATGAAAGCCTACAATCTTTTCAACCTTACCTCTAAAAGGCACATCATATCCCGGAATGTAATTTTCCATGAATCTGCATTCCCTTTCCAAAGCATACCACCACAGGTTCCTGTCATAGATATTCATTCCCCAATGTTCCTAAATAATCGGATTCCATCTCAGATTTCCTCACCTCCTATTGATTCGGATATACCTCTTCCTCCGAATCCACCTTTGGAGACTTCACCTACACACTTCCCTCCTGTATCTCCATCTGATTCTGCCTCACCATCACCCCTCAGCATCCCTGACCAACCTGCACCTCCAATTCGAAGATCTGAAAGGGCCCATAAGCCACCCTCATACCTTAGATAGTATCACTGCAGCTTGGCTACGCACAATAATTCCCCTCTCCCATCTGATTCCAGGACGAATGCTACACCGCTAACAGTAAGCAGTATGACATCTCGGCTCATGTTGGCTATAACCATCTGTCCCCCCCTCACAGAGCCTATGTATTGTCGATTTCCTCATCTTCAGAGCCAGTCTCATATTTTCATGCCTCCAAATATCCAGATTGGTGTGCAGCTATGGATGCTGAACTCCACGCTTTGGCTGCTAATGATACCTGGTCTTTGACAACTCTACCTCCACATAAGACCCTGGTTGATTGTAAATGGGTCTAAAAAATTAAATACAGAGCTGATGGCAGTGAAGAGAGGAAGAAGGCACGCCTCCTTGCTAAAGGCTTCACACAGCAAGCTGGATTGGACTACGAGGATACCTTTTCTCCTGTGGCAAAATTGGCCACCTTTAAGACACTCATGGCAGTAGCTGCAACAAAACAATGGCTGCTGTTCCAACTTGATGTGAATAACGCCTTCCTCTACGACGACTTGGAGGAGGAAGTGTACGTGCGTATGCCTCCAGGGTATGAGCAGCAGGGGGCCAACGGTGAGAAGCTTGTATGCAAGCTCAACAAGTCCATTTATGGACTCAAGCAAGCCTCTAGACAGTGGTTCAATAAACTATCAGGTTTTATCCTCTCTCAAGGCTTCACTCAATCTCAATCAGATCACTCATTATTCTCCAAAATCAATGGCTGCTCATCCACCATTTTATTGGTCTATGTTGACGACATCATCATTGCTGGAAATGATAGTCAGTATATCGATCAGTTTAAGAAGGTTTTGGATCAACACTTTAAACTAAAAGACCTAGGAGCTCTGAAGTTTTTCTTAGGTCTAGAAGTGGCTAGAAACAACACTGGAATCTCCATTTGTCAGAGGAAATATGCATTGGAAGTCTTGGAAGATGCAGGATACCTAGGTGCTAAATCAACCAAAACTCCTTTGCAACAGAACTTGAAACTTACTAAATCGGATGGCGAACTGATTGGTGATCCCAGCGTTTACAGAAGATTGATTGGCAGGTTACTCTACCTCACCATTACAAGACCAGACCTTGCTTATCCAGTACAGATTCTTAGCCAGTTTGTCGATTCACCTAGACAACCGCACTTTAATGTTGCCTTCCATGTACTGAGATATCTCAAATGAACTTCAGGGCAAGGACTATTCTTTGGGAAGAATTCAGAAATGCAGCTTAAGGGCTTCTGTGATGCAGATTGGGCCGTATGTTCAGACACCCGGAGGTCCGTTACAGGCTATTGTGTCTTCTTGGGGGATTCGTTAATCTCATGGCGATCAAAGAAGCAAGGAACCGTGTCGAGGTCCTCTCAGCCGAAGCCAAATACAGGGCTATGGCAGCGGCAATATGCGAATTAACATGGCTGCAATATATACTCAGTGATTTGGGAGTTGAACATCAGAAACCAGCACTACTATTTTGTGACAATCAAGTAGCCATACACATTGCAGCAAATCAGGTATATCATGAAAGGACAAAACATATTGAGCTAGATTGTCATGTCGTTAGAGAGAAGATACAAGAAGGCAAGATCAGAACCATGCACTTATGTACTAAGGATCAACTCGCAAACATCTTAACTAAATCAATTGGAGGACTGAGATTCAGAACACTATTAAGCAAGATGGGAGTTCACAATATTCACCTCCCACCTTGAGGAGGCGTATTGTATAATTTGTAAATTCATTTCCTTTTTCTGTTTTAGATTATTATTGTTAGGTGACATGGCACATTGGTTAGAATATTCTTGTTAGTTTGTTAGGGAACAAATCTTGTATATATACCACCATAGGAGCTGATCAGATTTGTGTGAATGAATACGGTAACCTGATATTTCGGTTCCAACTATTCCCCATTTTTTATCTTCCAGAATTTATTAGTAAGTTTGAGATAAACCTCTTTATGCCTGGATCTGTGTATATCTGAGACCAGTAGAATTTTCATGTTTTCTTTCAAGGGTTTCTTTCTTCTATTTGAAATGAAGTTGGGGAAACAGAAAGCTTTAACAAACTATCACATTTCATTATGGAAATGGCAGACTAGTGTATGTTAGTAGTCTATATGAGTGCACAGAAGATTTGCCATTGCGGTCTAATCTCCATAAATTTTGAGTTGACTATAAGTATAATAAAAACCATACACAAGGTTATGGCTGCTATGTATTTTCTTCACGTCGTGGCTGACGATGAAATCAGAAAATGTAACACTTCATATGAAATTGCGCTAGCTTTTGGTATTTCTGCAACATTTGAGCAACAATGTGGCATCCACACAAAGGTGGTCAAGTTAAAAATGACACGGCCTGCATTGAGATAATGCAAGCTTTTATACTACGCTCCTCGATTAAATACCCTCAGAGCTATTTATCAGTATGCTGATACCAAAACAAAATTTCATAAAGCTTCAATCCCCATTGATCTTAAGCTCACGTAATGAGTGGGAAAGCTCTTTTTGATTCCTGAGTTTGTGAAACTCAGATTCTATAGTTTTAGCAATTTTGACATCTTTGGTGTCTGGCTCAGGAAAATCCACGTGGAATGAACCTTGTTTGACTGGTGCAACAGGATCGATCAGCACAGCTTGCTGCTTAACATAGTTGTATAGCTGCTGATGGAAGGGATGGTACAAGGAAAAACTATTGCCTACAGTTCCATTTTTAGATTGCCGTGATGAACCTGAGCCTTCTGTTCGACAAAAATGAGGAATGGATTCATAATCCATGATCTGCATGGAATAAGTAACTTATTTTCAACTTCAACCAACAAATTCAACGAAACTTGTGCTTCACAATGGGCTTACAGTTAAAGCCATGAATCAAACTGAACTTACCTTCAGCAATTCATCTTTTCCGGAGCCTGAAAGGACTTGTACTTTCCTCCTAGTCCTCTCTTGCAGAAGAGGCCTCACAACCTACGAACAGGTACAATAGAATTTCAACTTTAGATATAGATAAAGTGCAAATAACCTGAAAATATGCAGTATATATACATGCCACACCTTCCAACATGCTGAAAATATATATGGTGCATTGACTATGTAATATGTTTGAGTCTTCTCGGGATAGTTCAGGTCATCGATGGTAGATATTACGGATAGAAACTGCAATGAAAGGACTTACGAATGTGTTAATTACCAATAGCATGAAGATTTACAAATATATAGTACATAATACAACCAGCTTAAAATATTTTAGATAACAGAACAAAAGATTAGAAGGTTATGCAATATGAAGAAATACCTTGAGTTGATTTAGTGCGGAAAATTTGAGACCAGTCATGTCCAAAATCTTTATGCACGTGCCGATATATCGCCCAAACTTCTTTGTTGCAGAAGGCTATAAAATAAAATAAAGTCTAAACAAAGCTGTTTTTCAAGTATATTTTTCACAATCCTAGTATGCGGATGCCAAAACTCACCAATATAACACGATCTCGATATTCATTCATTTGGATGTGTGACTGGACGTAATAGTTAATCTAAAATGTCAAAGATTAATATCAGATAAAATAAATAATCCACGTAATAAAACCAAATTTAACATTTTGAAAAAAATAACAGCAAAATTCTTGAAAGCGTGACATCTTACAGATGCTTTGTCATATGTGCTGAGCCCTACACCAACTGCAAGAACAGGAAGACCCTGAAAAATTAGAAGATAAAATGTAAATCATGCACGAGTTCTGTATTTTATCAAGTGTATCAGTGCCATTTATAATGTGTTGATAGAAAAGTAACTACGAGACAAGATTAGGGTTTGTTGTAAAGAAGGAAAGTCCAGTAAAATAATTCAAGATCATCACACGCAGAATTTGTATGGTAAAGCAAAACTTCAATAGCTACATTTCATAGTACATTGAACATTACCTCTTTTGAGTATCCAGACATTCCTACGAGCTGAGAATCCCTTACTTCTCTGTACAAGTCGACGGGGATAATTGGCTTCTGCAGAAGTAACCAGTTATATTAGGAGTAGTAAAATTCAAAAACTACTTTTGTCCATTATAAGCATTCTATACAATTATAAGATGCATTGTCATGATGATAGTCTATGAAAATTCGTTATTGCGTACAATGTTGGAGATCTTGTATGAGATTATTCGAAGGTACAGGTTCTAATTTCCAAAGAAACCTCAGATTCCAAAAGTTTTTCCACCTCTTCAATCGAAATCCACCAAGGGTCGGCCAGATTAGGTAACAGCCTAGTCCTTGACAGCCATGACAAATTCTAGGCAGTGAACCTCATTCTTGAAATTACAGAACCACGTGCACCAACTAAAATCTCATGGATTTTGCAATTTGTTTTTCCAACATCAGAAAAATTCTACTAATTCAATCTGAAGATTGTTATGGCTGTTGACTAAAGAGATGTACTTTTTGGTAGTAAAAATAGTTTACATTAAGATGCTCGATCATCTAACTTTCTAAAGCACCAGTCAAAAGAAGATAATTTGACCATAAACTAGTGGTGTTTGTAGTTGAAGATTCAAATATACGTTCATTATCAATATTACCATGGCTAAAACTAAGCCATGCATCTGCGCGTGTGGCACCCTTATTTCTTTTATCATTTTAGGCCAAATCCAAACAATACTGTGGATTGGACAGGAGAATAGATCTTCGAGGCTTTTCTCCGAAAAAAATATTGGATGGGTGGGAGATGGGAATTGAGATGGCATTTAATAATCATCTATCGTAGGAGCTCTCACTCAGCCTGTCAGCTCAAACAGCAGCCGCTGCTGTGCTTTAGTGCATTATGAACAATGCCACAGTCTAACCAAAAAGATCTAGCACGGTCTGGTCAAATATCATATGTGCAAATACCAGATTACAAGGAAATAGAAAACTTAACATTCTACATAGAACAAGATCATCAGAACTCACCGCCAGTATATTGTCAATATCGTTTTGTAACCTCCAGTTCAAGCAGTCGACAAGCTGAAAAAACATGGGGTACAACTGGTAAGAAACAATGAACATACGTCAACTTATTCTAACGAAAAAATTTTGTTAGTAACGGAATCATCAAACCATTTTATGGGCGTCAGATACATTCCCATCTCTTGCTTTGAGAAACCTCACTGCCAATATGTCATCAATTTTATTTTCTATCCTCCAGTTCAAGCAGTCGATGAGCATTTCATAGGCCTTAGAGACATTCCCATCTCGTGCTTTGAGAAACCTCACCAAATTCTCGGTTGGGTAACCTTGATGCATATTCTGTATATGAAGACAAGAAAATTACAGTCTGTTCATTATTTACTCTAAACTTCAAAATGAAAAATAATCTGTGTAAGGTTGCAAAAATGATACAAAACGGTTTTTCATCTTGATTTCCGAACCCTGTACTTGCAAGGAACAGCACGAGATCGATTATTTTAGTGTGCAAGAAATATACAAGAAGCTACGAACAAGTCCAGTCAAGCACTAGCCAAGGACAAAGATCAAGCAAATTGTGAAAATAATCATCCTCATTCCATCAAATAAAAAATCTAAGATTTAAAGCAGCTCTCTGACTATCCCATTTCCACAATCAAGCCAAAAATGAACAAATATGACAGGAAACAAGTACTGGGACTATTACAAATATAAACCCAAGTCAAGAATCACTTCAAGTACTTAGATCAAACTGAAATTCAAAAGGATCAATTTTTTTATTTTTTCTTAATTCTCAAAAGTGCAGGACAGATAAGTAAAAATGGCAAACCTGGAAAGTCTGTTTCAGTGGGTCGTCAACTGAAATCAAAATAAATAACTAAAAAATTAGTTCTTGAGAGATCAAAAATTCCAAAAAGACTCAAATGTGATGAAGAAAAATGACCTTTTTCCAGGAGAGTCTGCAACTGCAGGATCATATCTTCTGTTATGAACACCATAATACACTCAATAAATTAACTGCTTGGATTCAATCCCAGATTTTACATTTCAGCTCTTCCTTGAATATATAAATATTGAGTCTTCGTGTCTGTGTTTTTGTGTGTGGGGTCGGGGATGTTGTCGGACAGGACGCGTGACGCTTGTGAAAATATGGGCCTTTGTTTTTTGGGTGGTGAAGAGTGAGAGACATTTGCTTTCCCAGCTCATTTAAAATTCATATAATTTTATTAACGATGTGTTTGAGCCACATTATTTTGTAAGCATGTATTTTAGAATAGTAGATTGAGGGAGAATGTGTGATTGAAAAAGAAGGAAAAATTATTGATGTAATGAAAAATATTATTTTATTGAAAAATGTGTGGTTGAAAATGAGTAGAAGAATGAGAATGAAAAAAATAATATGTACCAAACATGACCTTAATACCATTGTTGATTTTCGTAAATCGTATCCAATCATTTAAACACTATCAATATACCGACTTTTTATGAAGTTTTTCTTGGCTCGAG